TGAGAATAAACAGGCGTAGACGAGGCCGATGGAGTATTTCGCGTCTGCGAGATTCACGAAGGAATCCGGCGAAAACCAGTGTTTGATTTTACTTGCGAATGATCAATGCGAGAGAGGGTGGATGTTTTTCTTGCGCTGTGTTCACGATATATATTACTGTGAAGTCTCTTCCATTCCGAGATACATTAAATCATAATAAAGATACACAATTTCATTTATGTTTTTTAACGTAGATACATTGAAATATAAATCTCAAAATAATATTATTTGGACCATTAAAATAATTATATAGAACGCACAAATTAATCATCATAATGTTAAATCTTTTTGCATTGTTATCAACTTAAGAGTTATATATAATTAATTGTTTTGATGGTCTAACAAAATTATTTTTAGATTTGTATTTAGATACATTTTTAGATATCTCAGCAAAATCGTTTGTGTAATATACTTATATTATTTATATATGTATATATCCGATATATACATATACAATATATTAGGTGTTAAATTTAATTCCTTTTAATTCGTTTTTCGTCTCCAAAATTGATTTGTTTCGAAGGGAAGATGAATGAATACTTTAAACAAAATAATTTCCTCCATTTTCTACTTTATTACTCATTAATAATACTTTATTAATAATACTTTGATTAAGGTATTTCCCTTCGAAACAAATCAATTTTGGAGACGACAAACGGCAGGAATTAAGTTTAACACCTAATATATAAAATTGTTCAGTACAAAGGGCTAAGCCTAGTCGAATGTTAATTGCCGAAAGAACGTTGATTTGTTTTAATTTCAACTTTAAGTTGATTATACACTGAGGAAGACCACTGTTTGAAATGATCGAAACGTTTGTAGTAATTTTTTAATATTTATTGAATCATGATTAAAACGAATCAGTGTTCTTTTAGCAATTAACATCCGGCTTAACAGCTCTTTGGACTGAATTTGAATTTATTCATAGGAACCTTTAAATTTAATTGTTAGTTTTAAGTAATACAAAATTGTATTAAGTATTATATGTAACAAGATTAGTTTTGTTTCTTTATATATTTTTGCAAAGCTCAGAATTACCAGAATGTCGCTGTTACACCGAAGGTTCTTCGAGGCAATCGCGATAGGATACTTTTTCTTTCGGGATAGGCCCCAAAGAAATCTTATCTTGGCGCGTATTTACAAACTGCTTTCTTCCTAGCCTTTTACGTATTACCTGCCGCTATCTCGTTCCATTCGGTGTGGCAATATCGCGTAGTGGAAACGTATACACGGAAATGTATAACGTTTCGAATTGCACGTGTTGTGTCCATGTCTTCTCTTACTTCTGTACGGTATTGCGCTGTCGGCAAAGTCTGTGTCCTCTCATCCATCACCAAGCTAAGGTCGCCGGTAGTCAGGAAAAGACGAGAAAGGCCTGCAGGCCGACAGGAGCTTCTTCCGATATCTCGACACGATGTTACGATTTGTCCGCGAACTGTGTTCCGTCATCTCAAAACAAAACTGCCTGATTGAGCGTTCCAAGAAAAGTCGTTGTGACTCGACAACCGAATAATTGTGATATTTCTCTGTGGCACGTCAATCGCTAAAAATAATCTCTCGATGCATTATCACGAATACTTGGTTGCATTTCTCAATGAATGTGAATTATCAAATTTATTATTAAATATTTTTTACACTAATTATTGTTGAATTTCAAAATAAAAAATTAAGAAATTATTATTCTATATTATTCCCTAATCACGTAGCGATATGAAAGTCATGAATATTTTTTTAACAAACATTAAGAATATATTTAAATATATTTTAAGAATCACAGTTAATTACAGTGAATAAAGTAAGTTGATACGAACATCTTTTGCGGCGTTTATGCTCTCATTGCGATACGATTGCGCTCCGAAAAGGCGGAGAAGCTCGCTTTATCGTTCGGGCGAGAACTGCGAAGGGCGGTTATTATTAATTGCTTCCAGAGGGTTTTACAACCGGACGGTTAAAGCCACGGTCTTTTTTACGAGCATCGAACGGGCCGGTTTGGCTTCCCTTTTCCACCGCATCAGTACAGTTCTCTCCATCCACTCTTTTCCCGCTCCGGACACTCGACCGGAAACTTCATTTACATCGTCAGCATCTATAAAATGGATTAATTGCAGCTGGCCGTGCGACGAGTGCTGGCATGCACAGCCGACGAACGTTCGACAGATGGAATTTATCCGTGGCGCATCCTCTACAAAACCGTTTTTTATATTCTTTTCTTTTCAAAATAAATACCTTCAAATATTCTCTTATTATATCTAATGTTTAAAATAATGCAATTTTATTGTCTTTCTAATAAGAGTAAATAAGAGTAAATGAAGACAAACGTACGTTGAATAATATAGCTTGTATTATATAGCTATATATTATATAGCTATCTATATATAAGCTTTAAAAATTTATAAAATATTAAGAAAATGAATGTAATTATCATCTAAGAAAAAAACATTAATTCTACACACACATACATAAATTATGATTTCAAAATTCAAGAATTTTAAATCTGAAGAATACGAACCAGAAATTAAAAGTTTCTTAAATGTAGATAAATCATCAGGTAAATGTAATTAGCTTTATTTTTAGAACTCATACCTTTTTTATTTTTATAATTAATTAATATACAATTTTTAACTATACATTTTTTATGAATAATATAAATTATAAAATATTTAGCTTTATTTTTAGAACTCATACCTTTTTTATTTTTATAATTAATTAATATACAATTTTTAACTATACATTTTTTATGAATAATATAAATTATATAATATTGAGGTAATGTAAAAAATTTTAAAGATAGAGTCTATAATATAAAATGAAAATTTAAATTATTTTTTTTTATTTTAATGATAATAAGTTAAAGAGTTCTACTCTCCAGAATAAGATACAATTTTTTGGCTAATATAAAAAAAAAGAAACACTTTTATATCGGACATAAGTCAACGAGTTTTATTTAAATGGAATTACGCAGGAAAATGGAAATACACAAAAGTTGTGGATCATTTAACGAATTAACAATTATAATCTGCGATTAGAATTCTTGTCATTAGCATAAGCCCGCGTCAGTGGGGCTGAAAAGTTTTCAGCGTTTGTTCACCAGTGCCAAAATAATCAGAAGGGAAGGAGTAATTTTATGCGATCGCGCGGGCAGATTATGAGAGAAAAGTAGCCGACGAAGTAGTTGAAGAATGTTAAGTCAGAGAACCTTATTATCTTACCAAGATAAATCACGAAGAAATTGAGATTCTTGTTTAATTGTAGTAATTACAGTGGCAAGCTATAATAAAATTAAAATTAGATATAGATATTTGCTCAGTGAATCTTTTGACATAATTCGGCATTATTTTTAAAAAAGATATTTACAATAATCATTGATAAAATTAAATAAGAGTAAATAAGAGTAAATGAAGACAAACGTACGTTGAATAATATAGCTTGTACTATCTATATATAAGCTTTAAAATTATCTGTTGTCCGAATTATATATATATAGTTTAATATTATATATTTAATTAGTATGCTGTGCAAAAAAAGAATTATAAAAGAAAAATCAGATTTTAGAAGAAAAGAGGAATAAAATAAGAAGAAGAAATATAGCATTAAGGCACTGTTTGCTTTATATAATAGTTTGAAACTATCAATAATTTTCTCATTATGTAATAAAAAAAATGATATATTCCAATTCATTTTTTGCAAAATAATTAATAAATTAAATGTAACTAATACACTAAACAGTTTTATTAGTTTCCGCTAGAAGAATTAAAATAGAAGAAATATATTTTTTAATTGATTTATAACTTTAGGAAATAAAAAGAAGATTTTTTGTTTTATGTAGTGGATTTCCGCGTCTGTTTCTTTATTTGTATATACAAAGCAAATATATTTGTATTTATAACAAATACTGCATAAGGTATTGTACAATATGTATCTGATATCTGATTGATTCTGTTAGTTTCTATTTCTTTCCGGAGAACATAAATTTTAGGTATTATTTTTCTAGAATCAATATCAAGAACTTTTAAGAGTATCAAGTGTCGATATTGTATCTTCTTCTGTTACTATAGTACTCTAGGACCATGCACAGAAATCGATTTTCTTTGATGGTAATAACAGTACAACGGTACATTGCCGACTATAAGTACATTTAAATTAACCGTTGGGAACATCGATCGTAGGAAACATTGTGAAGATAATGTATCTACTGTTCGGAACAGGCTATCGATCCGATTAACGGAGCTCACGTTCTTTGTTCACTGATATAGATGCCCTTACTTGTATCTACTTGAGAGAACAAGATTTTTATGTAATATACTTCTAAACATAAAACGAAGAAAGATAATGATATTATCGCAGAGTTGACTGATTCAAAAATATATTAGAATTTTAGTGTGTAATAAATCGTTATATAAATGTAAAATTATACACTATAATTATAATTATTATATATAAATCATAAGAGAAAAAGTATAAATAATGCTTGAAAAGTATATAGATAAGAAACCCAGCAAACACAATGTTACATGTAATGTACATGTAACATTGTGTTTGCTGGGAATATAATTAAGGTAATTGATTTATTCGTAAAATTTTTACTTACATAAATTTCACATTAAATTATATACAGCATAACACAGTTACACGAGATATAAATTTTCAAAATTATCAATGCCATGATTTTATTTTGAACAATTGTATCTTCTGTGAAAGAATTGAGCAATGTCATTTTTAAATGGTTGATTTTTAATTTAAATGATTGTAACAAACGTTAGACTTAATTTTGTTTTCATTAGCTTCTTTGCTAAGACTTTTGTCATCCACTCTTAATATTTTCCCGTTTGTAGATATTTTCAAGTCATTGAATACGTTTTGTAGATTTGCGTAAACTTGATTTTCGTAACGCATATTTGACTGGATAGAATTTTGCATAGCAATTTTGTTCTTGAGATTCCTCAGTCGGGGTTGTATTTTATGATATGCTTCTTCGGCACTCAAACGGCGATCTCTTTCCTTCAACAGAAAATTAGTACTCGTTTCTAAGTCTCTTATTAAGTTCTGATTGTGTGTTCGATCATGAGAGATAAGCGATTTTTTAATTCGTCTGCTTTATACCACTTGATATGACTTTTATTTACTGCAGTGTGCAATCTATATTTTTTATCACTTCTTTTCAACTTGTATACATGTCTGATTTTTTGCATTTGTAAAATGCTATCTTTCTGCATTTTTATTTGAGTGTGCTAAAACAGAAAAGTATATTGTATAAATCGAGTGTATAATACTTTTACTAGCAGTTATTTGCGTAATTTTAATCGATATTAAATTCAAATAATTTACAGTTTGAGTTTTGAGAAATTTGTTCTCTTTCGCATGTTGACAAGATCTGTCCTTGGGAACCATACTTTGTACAAGGAAGTGCTTGTGGTTCAGTAATCTTTTCTTTATTGGTATTCTTTCCCCTTTGTGTTTCCTTTTCTTTAGAAACTTACGAATAATTTGCAATATGTCGGCCGACACTTCATTATCCCTGAGATCAATCTGTGTAAGTACGCTATTTGTTTGTAAAAATTCCAACACAATTTCTCCTCCACGTTGAGTAATTCCGCAACATCGTAGACATAATGTTTTGAGCCAAAAGTCATTTTTCAATATACATATCAATTGCTTCAAACCGATATCGCTAAATCGGTAATTTTTATCAAGTATTAGTACTTGCAATCCTTCTTCCTGAAATGTGAATGCAAATGTGTTAAATAATTGAAATTAAAAACGTGATGTCTTAATTAGAATAATTTTTTTCTCGATATACATACCTCCGTTGTGCGAGCATCACGAGATAATGTTAACTCCTTCCAAACATTTTGCAATAAATCTGCTTTTCTCTTTTTAAAGAAAAATGACAGACACGTAGCGCTTCTATTAGTAAGGCAGCATGACGATAGATTCAGAACGTGAAGATTTGAATTACATTGTAAACTTTCCAACAGCATATAACATCCTATAAAAAAAACATAAATGCAAATATATTATTATCTTCATTTTTCTTTTACACTAGTTAAAATTTATAAAGGTTTATAAATTTATAAAGAAATTTATAAGAGAAAGTTGAACTTGAAATATACGTAGTTATGTCAGATCTATATTGGTTCACGGAGAGAATTTTTTCTTAGAATTTACCCTGAAAATATGACAATCGTGGGACAACATTGTATTTCGAAGAATTTTAATATAAATCTCTCTCATTCATTAATAAAACTACAATAAAGTATAAAATAAGTTTAATCAATTTTACTGAAGTGCATGGTAAAAATCTTTAAAATATTGTATTGTACCACAATCACCATATTTTCAGGGTAAACTTTAAAAGAAAATTCTCTCCGTGTTGTTTGAAAAATTTAAATATTTTACAAATTTTAACGAACCCATATCACCTATTCGACATCTGGCCAATGACAAGTTTCGCAGATTACGATTATTTACCAAGCCATCAGCAAGGATCCTTAGATACTTGAGTGCAAGCGGGATACCATCAAGTGTAAGGCTGGTAATCATCAACGAATTCTTCAAACAGTCTGCGACGGAATGAACGAAGCATTGTAGAAGACAATTCGTGTACAATACTGGCTGCCGTCGGTCCTTTCGTGCGCATCTCCTGAATGTGCGAGTAGAATGCCAATCCATTTGCCATTTTACAATTTGCGAGTTTATATATCATCGTTTTTTGCCATTTTCATATTTTTTAATTCTCCCTTTGATTATCTCTTTGTTGCGGCGTCACCTGCAAGCTTAAACTTACTGCGAGTAGTATCCGAAAAAACAAATAATCATAGTATTTAATTTTAAAATATTCAAATATTTTTAAATATTTAAATATTTTTTGTAACAATAATTATTTTGAGAAACGTTAAAATAATTGAAAATAAGATATGATTTAATTCTCTATATTAATTATTTTTTATGTAAAAAATTTACGTTGCTTTTGAGTGTACAAAATTACTTTGTAAAAAAGTAATTTATTTGTCTTTTTGTCACAATTTTAATTGGCATTTTAAATATTTACATGAAAGATTAAAAAATATAAGAGACTTGATTTTTTGAAAATCATATCAGGAATTTCAAATAATTTTTTATAAAAAAAAATCTATATCAAGAATCACATATAAGAATCATATAAGAATGATTTAATATTTATTATTTTTAGACAAATAAAAAAATTTTTAAACATGTTTCCACTTAATTACTAAAGTCGTTTAATATTAAAGTTAAAAGGAATACATCTATCAAAATTAAGTAAATTTTCAATATATTTTCAATTACCATAATTTTATAAGTTTCTCTTCTGTATCCATTTTCTCTCTAATGTTTTTATTGCGACATTGACTGTATACATAAATTTCGGACAGACTTCGATCTTCCATTATACTGTTCAATAGTGGCAACCAGTCTTTCAAATTTATATAATCGGCACAAAATCGCAAGCAGTTCTTTTGCAGATGCATTTGTATCGTTAGCAAAGGTTTTATGTTTTTCTCGCGACATAGCACCTTCATCAAAAATATCTCTTTGATATTATATTATATTTTTTCAAAAAAGAAATTATAATAATTGGTAAGAGGTTATTAAACAGAAGTAACACAATCTGTTCTACTTATCAAATCTATAAATAAATTTTTAGAAATTAAGTATCTTATTTATGTTATTTTTTATAAGTGCTAAAGTGAATTTTTTATTTAACATTTCTAAAGTATAATTAAAATGGTTAAATCGCAAACTAATTGTTTTATATGTTTGAAAAAGTTTTAAAATTACAAACCTTGTATGTGTACTCAAATAATCCATTAGAACTTTTCTCTTCGCAATTTTGCATAATGTCACGTGTAATTTTATGTGATTATGAATTTCATTCCCTAAGGACTTATAATTTTCACCGAAATAAAATTCGGATAACGGATTACGCGTTCTGAATGGACGAAGGCATCGATATAAAAATATCGAACATTTGAATGCTACTATTAGTAGAAGGCATGACAATTGTTTCTTCATAAATTCCACCAATGGTATTGCGGAAAAATGCGACTTAATATAAGTAATAAAAATTAGAGTTAAAGCTATAATTTATTTAGACACTCGTAAACAGTGCAGTAGTAGGTAAGATAAATAATGAAATTATTGAAATTTGTTTATCCATATATATAATATACTTATAATAAAAAATACGTAATAAGATCAATCAGAGAGAAGAATAATTATTTGGAAAAATAAATAATACGCATGCAGAAATATTGAGACTGAGATGAGTAATATTAGGTGTTAAACTTAATACCCAATACGGCTTAATACCTTTACGGCTTCCTGCAGTTTTTCGTCTCCAAAATTGATTTGTTTCGAAGGGAAGATGAATGAATACCTTAATCAAAGTAATTTCCTCCATTTTCTATTTTATTACTAATTAATAA